CATGCTATGAATGTGTCAAAATTCCTGGGCTACCCTTCTCTACATCTCAGAGGAGGCGAGTTGTCTGCCGGCATATCTCGTGTGTTGCATGAAAATTCCGCCTCAGCATAGCATAACTTTCACTGGAAATCAACCATCACTTTTGCTACTGCTTTCGCCACTTTCCTTCGCACTTCATCACACCGTATTCGAGCTTATGGCTCTTCGTTTCCAAGTCATGTCTTTAATATGGACTTCTTCTCGCTAGCGAATTGAACCTCTCGAGTCTAGGATTAAGCTTTTGACCCACAGGTGACGAGCCAACCCTTAATGATTGGAGCGTTCATTCGTTCATTCTTTCATGTTTCACTCATAACACTGATGAGGCTGATAAACCTATTAGCCCTGGGATTGTTATTATCCGTTTTCATATACGAGTAACTCACCATGTGAAACTTATGGGGGGGGGGAGGGGTGCCTTAGAATTCACTTGCGTACACGTGCATGTAACTGACTGACTGATTCCATCAGCTAACTTTACATATCTTACTCGTTTGCTTGGAACGTTGCTCTCGAAGACGTCCTGATTCTGGAACAGCCTAACGAATAGCTTCATTTCGTTAATGCAGAGATGGAATTACAGCAAACGTACTTATGATGAGGAAGATTAATCCATAAAAAATTTTATCCAAAAATTATCTGATGTATAAGTGTTTGTGTCCATCGATCCATCCATCGGTCCATCGTGTCCATCCTATAGAGTCTGCAGAAGAGAGATAATCATTGTCGTGTTCCATTATCCAACAGCGGTTAGGTGCTACTTTAAAACCCAGTTTCGATTACGTTTTGTGCACAAATAGAAACGGCAACAGCATTTCAGTTATGACCTTACTCTGATGAAAAGAATAAATATTCTTTTGCACTTTTTGATATATTTAGCTCCTGAATTAATCCGCCAGGCGAACAATCAATAGGAATCATCAAAAGCAACTAGCCAATTATGAAAGACAGTACGTCAACTAGGTCCAGGTGAACCAGGCACTTTACAGATGGTGTGCCAGTGTATAAAGCGATTAGCAAAAGCCATTAATCTCTAATCGAGCGAAAAGCGGGAAATAATACACTTTGCTGACAATCGATCAAGCCGGTGGCTCTGAATAGATCTGAATTCGATTTGCTTACAGTATGACTTTGGTATAAAATCTCATTAGCATTTCGCAGGCGCGGAAGAAACAGCAGGTGCAAAGCTGTAAGCGATGAAGCAGAGTGGGAAGGTGATGATGATGGAAATCGTGGCTCAGTGCACTTTCGCAGGTGTGTGAGGTGATGTCGTGGCTGCTTCGGAATGGGTAACGCTTCGACAACCAACTCAACGGCGAACATCGTCATTGGCATCAAAAGATCACAGGAAAATCAGAACAACAAACTTTACCATCTGGTAGATTACCAAGGCGAGGGAGAACTTGTACAATGGATGAAGTATTCTTTATCGATCGGTGACTTCAACATTCTGGATGGCATAATCGAACTGAAAGTAACTCCGTTCCTGTTTGCTGGAGGAAAAGGCAAACTGGTTCCCATCTCCGAGCTTGTCAAATTGCGCAATGACGAAAGAAACGCCATGCTTAGTACTCTGCGGCGCAAGAAGGGCAAGGGAAAGAGCGGCCCGAATATTTTGGAGAGCATCAACCAGGAAAACATGCAGGGTGACATGATGAAAGGTGAGACAATCTCTTTTGTCAACAGTTTTCAGGCACAACTCAGCATTATTTATTCTCAATGCTAAGCGATACAGTAACCTAAGACATACATAGCGCTGCCATGAAGCAAATTGTTAACTACACTTAGTAACGGTAGTCACTGATAGTGATTAAGTAGTTTAGAATCCTGTTGTTTTCATTTTTTAATGAAGATTTAAAAGTTAAATACAGCATAAAGCTATTCTGTTATATCCTCAGTGAAAACAGTTGTGGCCAATCCCATCATAGGCAACTGGTTTGCATTGTGCATGATTAAAAAGCTTTGATACTGCCTTCGTATTAAAACAAATGCCCAGGGCACAACCCTATTTATGACAGGTCACTGAACTACGGTATCTCGTACTTTCTACTCTGTAAGTATCCATTCCCTGTATGCATTTTCTTCATCATCATTTCGTTGACGAATAACAACTGGTCGGATGGAATAAAAATTTCATTACCTCAGTCAGCCAGATCCAGTGAATGCTTATTGCTTCTCGTAGCTCAGATACACGTGTCCGACATCGTCTCCAACGTTCCCCATCCGATGCCAGTGCCTGAGCTTTGGCAGAAGTTAACCCGAGTTTGGAGGAGAGTCCTCAGAAAATTATTCCTCATGTTATCCTTGGCCGCTGTATGATATGTCAGCGAGTCATTCGAGCACAACGCAGCTGTTTCACCTTCCTTTATTAAAACATTAAAAGGGCGCATCCAAACCATTTCAGCTGTGACTTATCAATATGCATAAATAACGGTTGCGCACTCACGATCGCTGTGCCCAACTGCAACCTTTTCGTCTATACATCTAAGCTGGCACACTC